GACAGACAGACAGACAGACAGACAGACAGACAGACAGACAGACAGATAGATAGGTAGAGGGAAAGATAGATAGATTGCGGGAGAGATAGATAGACGGAGAGAGAGAGAGAGAGAGAGAGAGAGAGAGAGAGAGAGAGAGAGAGAGAGAGAGAGAGAGAGAGAGAGAGAGAGAGAGAGAGAGAGAGAGAGAGAGAGAGAGAGAGAGAGAGAGAGAGAGACAGAGAGAGAGAGAGAGAGACAGAGAGAGAGACAGAGAGACAGAGTCTCCATGACTGCCAGATTTTCTTCCACTTAGCGGTGTTTTCTGTTTTTAGAAATTGCTGAAATAACGGAGAAAAACACCAAAAAACAAAAAACCAGTGGGGATTCTATGTTCTTTCGGTTTACCGTTGTTTCCGGATTAACCATGTTTCGTTTAAACGGTCTCTCCTTCATTTTTGTGAACACTTTCTCTCAGGTCGACAGTTTGACAAAGATGGGAATTTGCTGCAGTGGTGGGAAGATGAAGCTATAGAGAAATTCAAGAAACAAACTGGATGTCTGGTGGATCAGTACAGCAATTACACCGTGGAACAAGTGGATATGAACGTGAGTCCATTGCTGCTAGCTAGTATATTCCTTCTTCTAGCCCCTGGGGCGGTGCTACTGACTGAAGTGTCTCTAGGCCATTCCCAAAGGGGGGACATTGACATACTCTTATGCTCAGTAGAATTGTAAATGGGCTGATTCATCAGTGTCATGTTCATAACTGTGCCTGAACTGCATTACAGGGAACTGCTGCTTTTTCTTTCCTAATCCTTACTATCGTCATTTTCCTCTACTTCTTTTGTATGTTTGTTACACTCTTGTGACCCGCTATTTCCGGAGTGCCTTGATAGTTGAAGCAGACTTTGTGCTTTTGAAGCTAGGGATGTGAGCAGAGTAAGCCTGATTTCCTGTATAGACTTTTCTGTTGTTGTGTGTGTGTGTGTGTGTGTGTGTGTGTGTGTGTGTGTGTGTGTGTGTGTATGTGTGTGTGTGTGTGTGTTTGGCATACATGTGTGTGCACATGTGTGCATGTTATGTGTTCGTGAGTGTGTATGCGTGTGTTTGTGTGTGTGTATGTGTATATGTGTGTGTGTTTGTGTGTGTATGAGTAGTTGTATTTGTGTGTGTGTGTGTGTGTGTGTGTGTGTGTGTGTATGTGTGTGTGTGTGTGTCTGTGTGTGTGTGTGTGTGTGTGTGAGTGTGTGTGTGTGTCGCGTGCATGAATATTGTTCGTACATGCATTTATGTAAAGCGCCTAGAGCTGTGTTTACACAGGAGTGGGCGCTATAGAAATGATCTTCATTATTATTATCATGATGATGATGACAATGTTGATAATGTTAAAGATGATGACAATGTTGATTATTTTCCTAGCTATGTTGAATGTATGCAGATGACAATGTTGATTATTTTCCTAGCTATGTTGAATGTATGCAGAAGACGATCTGCTAAAACCTTTTCCTGCCAAAATAGATATGCGGTGATGATGATGATGATGATGATGATGGCTATTTTTCTAGCTATGTTTCCATTGAAGCGTGAATTTGAACTAAAAGTTGAACATTGTTTATAATACACTGATTATGCCTAAAATATATTCAAGTCTCCAAGTATGCTGATCTGTTGTTCTATAATAACAATGACAGTGATGATGATTTTGAAGATGATGATGATGATGATGATGATGATGATGATGATGATGATGATGATGATGATGATGATGATGATGATGAATTCTTTTTTCAGCTGAATGGTATCAAAACCCAGGGAGAAAACATCGCTGACAACGGAGGGGTTAAACAGAGCTTTTGGGTAATTATTGATAAAAAATATTGCTCTGTGTGTGTGTCTGTGCGCGCATGTGTGTAGCATGCATGTGTGTGCATGTAATGTGTGCGTGAGTGAAAGAGAGAGAGAGAGAGAGAGAGAGAGAGAGAGAGAGAGAGAGAGAGAGAGAGAGAGAGAGAGAGAGAGAGAGAGAGAGAGAGAGAGAGAGAGAGAGAGAGAGAGAGAGAGAGAGAGAGAGAGAGAGAGAGAGAGAGAGAGAGAGAGAGAGAGAGAGGGAGGGAGAGAGATTTTGCGTGTGTATGCGTGCTCGGTCACGCACGTGTAAATTCGTGTGTGTGTGTGTGTGTGTGTGTCTTTTTGTGTATGTGTGTGTGTGTGTGTGTGTGTGTGTGTGGGCGCGTGCGTGTGTGTGAGCACGCATGCACATTTGCGGATACAATACATTTTTCAATTTTGTAATATCAATAAGCTATAATGCCAATTTGTTGTACTCAGGCCTACAAAAATTGGGTGTCCACTCACAGCGAGAAAGATCCAGCCCTACCTGGGCTCAACTTCACGCACAACCAACTCTACTTTTTAGCTTTTGCGCAGGTAAGGCATCCTTTCTTCTTCTTCTTCTTCTCCTTCTTCTTCTTCTTTTCCTTCTCCTTCTTGACACCTACTATCATTTTCAACGTAAACACCTGTGAAGTAATTTTAGAATGAGATATTATTTCTATGAGATCAACCTTTTAAAAAATAGAAATGTGCAGCATGAATTCTATTAATAATAATAATAACAATAATAATAATAATAATAATAATAATAATAATAATAATAATAATAATAATAATAATAATAATAAGTTGTAGAAGTGGTAGTTGTTGTAGTAGTAGTAGTGGTAGTAGTAAAAGTAGTAGTCACAGCAGCAGCAGCAACAGCAACAGCAGCAGTAGTAGTAGTAGTGGTACTAACCCAGCAGTAATGGGTACCTGACTTTTTGAGTTGGGGAAGTAAAGGCAGCATGGAAATCATTGGACAGGAACTGGCCACCCTACCACAATATGCCGAAGGCCCAGGAAGTTTTCTTACTAACGAGCCAATCCCCAATGTCTGAACGGATGGGATGCGGGAACAACTTTATTTTATTCCTTGTAATCTGTTAACTCATTTGCTACGCCGAGCCGTGGGGGGCGGCGCGGCTCAAGTGCCGTCAGTACGTTAAGCCGCCCCCGGCGGCTCGAAAACCGACGTTCAATTTTAGCTTGGTTACTAT